CCTTCTCTGGGCTGTTTCTCTGCTCATAGCACAAAGGAAGCAACACTAAGGGGTTGGCCTTCTGGTGCCAGCTGTGTTCTGTGAAAGCTGGACACCTGTTTACTAATTTATTCTGCTTCTATTGATTGAGGATGGCATTTATTAGGTGACAGGGTGGTGAGGGTAGGATTTTGTAACATACCGCTAACAACCTCTCTCAGGTCATCCAGGGCCAGAGGTCACTGCCCATCTTGGTCCCCAAGGCGTCCTACTGCAACCCGCTGCTCCTCCTCCATCTGTCCAGCCCTGACCCTAGGGGGAGGGGGTCTGGACTGAGCCTGTGGATGGAAAATATGATTAATAATCAAAAAAACATCCAAGAGGAAGAGACCAGGAAAACAACTTGGGGAAGGCTCCTTGCCCAGGGGAGGGGGGCCATGTCCTGGGCCTCGGGACAGCTCCGGCCGCCCTCCCGCCGCCCTTTCTGGGAAGCTGCCACAGGAGTGGGTAATTTTAGCCAAAAGTGGAAAAAAAAGAAGAAGAAGAAGAAGCCATCCTAATTATTTGTGAGAAAAGATGCCCCTTCCTAGTGTAGGTTGTGCTTTACCTTAGGGCTTCCCTTCAGTGTTACCCCCTCTTCCTAGGGGTCTCCCTGCTTGGTGAGCCTGGGCAGGGGGCGGCTGGAGACACTGCACTGGGGGCAGAGGAGGAATTTCAACATGAAATGTTTTGTTCATTAACAGAGAACACAAGGGGGAAATTCCCTCTCTGCTTGAGCCTGGGCAGCCCGAGCGGACACTCAATAGCTATTGTGAAAAATCCAGCCTGGGCTGCAGAATGGAGTGGGGGGTTTATTGGGGGAGTGTGTGTGGGGAGGGGAGAATGCTCTTCCTGCCCCCCTCAGACTTCTGACTTCCAGGGGGCTTCCTGAACCTTAATCCTTTCCTTCTTTCAGGGATTTGGTTCTTAATGCCTCCAGTTGCCCTCAGACTTCCTTCTTAGCAAAACTGGAGAAACTGGGATTACACTGGAGTTGGAACTTCCCCCCTGAGGAGGAAGAAATTATATCAAAAGGAAGGAGGGGGAGGTATCTTGGCCCCACTGAGTAATCCTGAATGCTGATAGAACCTGCTGGCAATGATGGGCAGGTAGGCAGCAGATCCGAGGGGGGCTTGAAGCAGGGTTGAAAGCCCCTGGGGGGGGGGGTTAAAGGGCCTGTTGAGGGGGAAGCAGCACCAAAGAATTGGGGAGGTTGAATTCCTCAGTTTTGACCTTAGCTCTCCCCATTCTCCTCCACCTTTAGGGAATCTTTGCCCTTTTCTGGCGCCAGAGGTTGGAAGGGTCAGGGTCCAGGCGTAGATCCAGTTGATGGAATTCCAGAAGGTCTGCAGAAGGAGGGTGTCGCCCTGGGTCCCAGGAGCCATCCCAGGACTCTGCTGGGAGCAAGCTCAGACTTGGGGGGAGGGGCGCACGGTGAGTGCTCCCTGGGAAGCGGGGCTGGACCTTGAGTGTGGGATCCAGAGGGGGTGTGTGAGCTCGGGCTCCCCCTCCCTGCTCGGCCCGGGGCTGTGTCGGGATCGGGTTTCTCGGCGCCTGGAGCCTCTGCGAGGCCGAGGCCGAGCTGTTCCCGGGCCCCGGCCAAGCCGCCCCGGGCGCTGGCACTGCGCAAGGAAGCAGGGGGGTGAGGGGGAGCGAGGGAGGTTGTGAGGGCGTTTACGTAACCGCCTCCCGGAGCCCGCCCCGACCCGCCAAACCCCACGGTGATTGAGAGCGTGTGCGACTGCCGGCGTGTGCCGGGGTGACACGCGTCGTGTATATGTGACTGTGGAAGTGTGATTATACGACTCAGTCCCGCTCCCTGGGGACGTCTAGCTCCTGACCCAGCCGGTGACCCTGAGCGTGGTAGGGTCGCATATACCTGTTTCACTCTCTGAGAGACTGGCTGTGGGATTTTTCTCTGCCCTTCTGGCTGGTCCTTGTAAGTCAGACATGGAGCTTGCCAGCCTGCTTGTATCTTAAACTTTTTGATAGCAAGGCAGGTTAGATGGCACTCAGCGCCATTCCCGGTGGGTAGAGGGTCTCTCCTTCCTTGAAGGGGAAATCAGGGAGAATGAGGGAGAAGGCTCTTATTATTGGCTCTTATTATTATTGACACCTGTGTGTGGGGCAGGAGGGACTTGGGGAGCAGGTGGTCTAGGTTTAGGACACCTGCTAGGGCGGAGGGTGGAACCTCAAGTCTCGGCCAGATGCCCCTTTCACGGTGGGTATAAACTTCCCAAAACTCAAAGTCAAAGAGAACGTTTCCCCAGTTTCTCCCCCAAGGGTTTTAAGGCTTTCCAAAAGAAATCCCCATCACTGACAGGACGCAGGCCCTGACCTAGGGGTGCTACTTCCTGCTGCTCCCTCATGGGAGACCAGTACAGTGCGCTGAGGCGATTTGCTGAGGAGAGGGGACTTGCGCCATGGAAAAGAGGGGATCGGACAGGTCAGGTATTGGGGCACCCACTAAAGACGAAGAGGAGAGTCAGATCCTGCAGGATTTGAAGCAGCTGCTAAGAAAGCCCAAGCTTTGCATCTCAGGCGGTGGGGAGCAGCAGGAAGTGTTCCCACCGCACTCGGACTCTCACGAGCTAGCGGAGCCCAGATGGCAGGAAAGTCGTGGCTGAGCCGGGTGGGGTGGAGCATTGGTGTGGAGAGGACAGCATCCTGGGTTCGGGGGCGTCTGGCGAAGGGCGGGAGCGGGAGCGGCGGCCGGCGCCTGTAGGAAACGCACGTCCCTCAGCCCCCGCCAGGTGTCGCTGCGGCCTCGGGGAAGCGCGAGAGGCGGCCGCGTCCCCGCGCCAGGAGGCGCTCCCGACGGACAGACCCTGGCCCGGTGCGACGTGCGCCTGCAGCCTGCAGCCTGCAGCCCGTGGCCGCCCTTATCGCACACACGCACACACACCGTCTCCCGGGCTTCCCCGGCTGTGGCCCCCTGCCCCCGCTGCGGACCGTGACACTGCCGACGGCAGCCTCCGCGTCCCCTGGGAATGAGAGGATGTTGGTCTCGGGTGGGACGCCCCACTGCTCTCAACATGCGAGAAAGAGACTGAGCCTGGGACACTGGGGCAGGCGGCGGTCAAGTCAGAAGCTCCGCCGACCTCGACGCCAGTCTCTCCCTGGGCGGTCAGGTGCGCGCTGCCCGGGGGGGACGGTCCCTTGAGCACCTTGTCCACCTCGCTCCGGCGCGAGAAGAGGGGCAACCCCTGTCCCCGCCCTCCCTCATCTCCACCACCCCAGATTCTGTCGTCGCGCCAGTCGGAGCTTTCCTCCGCGCTACTCTGAGCCGGGTCCTCGGCCTGCGGAGAGGCCAAGAAGCGGACATCTCCCGAGCTGGGCCGTGCACGGGACCGCAGCTGGGCACAACTGTCCCTGTGTGTGCGTCCCAAAGCCCCAGTCCATCCTCCTCCTAGCTTCAGCCCTCGCTGACCCCTCCCGGTTACACGGAGGGCATTTCTTGGCCACGGAAGTGAAAGTGAAAAGCCGGGGCAGGGGCGGGAGGAGGTTTTCTCCTGCACCAGGGGAGTCCCCGAGGCATTTGTTGGGAAAGGGCCCGGGCGCTCTAGGAGACCTGCTCTGGAAGGGTGTGAGGAAACGCTGACAAACGTCTTTCCCCTCCCCTTCCCTCGCCTTCAGCCCTAGAGCGGTTCCCTGCAGGGCCAAGGCCCGGGGATTATGGGTCAAAGGTCAGGTGAAAAATTCGAGGGGTGGACCTCTGGTTCCCCGCTTTTGGCATTCCTCCTTTGGGCTGCGCTCTCTCCAGGTCGCAGAAATTGGTCAGGTTTCCTGACTTTCGTCTCCCATCTTGTAGCCAGACGGAGACCCCCGGGGTGTGAAGTGACCCCCGTCTCCCGCGCAGGGCTCTCAGAGGCCCGGGCTGCGGAAGGAAAGACAGAGCGGTGAAGCTCCAGCGTCCAGTTCGCCAACGGGGTTGCCCCGTGCGCCCGAGCTGCTGTCCGGGCAGGGAGGGCTCTCCGTCATCCCTGTGGCCGTTTCTCCCCAGGCCGTGGGTCCCCAGGGGCTGAGAAAGGAGATCGTAGTGGCGGTGGTGTCATCACAGACATGGTGGGAATGGAGAGCCTGAGCTCCCAGCCTGGTCCATCCCGACCCTGGAAGCGCGAAGTCCCCTTTCCCCCTGCGCAAGGGGTTTATCTATTGGTGACTGGAAAGGTTGAGATTGGCTGGGGAGGAGGGGGTTGGGGTCGTCGCTGGGGGGGGAGGGGCGGTAGGAATAGGGGCGGAGCCCGCTAGCGCCTTCTCCCCAAAGTGGGGACCGAGGGGTCTTGGCTCGCGCTTCTCTCCCGGTGATAACCGAGGGAAGGTTCCCGAGAGTTGGCCCCCCGGGTGTGTCGGGCAGTCAGTGTGAAACAGCGAGGGCCTAAGCGTGCAGCAGTGTGCGCAGCGGGGACCTGGCCGAGGCGGAGTGAGAGAGTGTGAAGGAGAGAGATCCCCGAGGGTGGGTGCGCCCAGCCGCCCTGGAGGACGGGGTGGAGTGGGTGTGTGTGTTGGGTGTGTGTGTGCGCGCGCGTTTGTGGGACCCGCCACCAGGACTAAGCTTGAAGTACCAGGGTCACAGCCGTCCGCAGGACGCGCTCGAGAAAGGGCGAACGCGCGGTGGCCACGCGTGCCAGTGCGGGCGAGTGTGCCAGCGGGGAGTGAAGGGGGGGAGAGCGCGTGCCTGCGTGGTGTGAGTGTGACTGGGGACTCAAGGCCTGCGCAGGGCAAGCGTGTCCCCGAGAGCGGGTGGCGCGTGCCAGGCTCGCGGGCCTGCCAAGGCGGGGGCGCGCGGGGGCCGTGGCGGGGAGGGGTCGTGGCGCGCGGCCGCGAAGGCGCGGGGAGACAAGGCAAGAGGGGGAGGGGAACGAGGGCGCGCGCGGCCGAGCGGGCGCCCGCGGTCACATGGGCGAGGGAAGGAGGGAGGGAGCGCGCGAGGGAGGGAGGAGGATGGGGGGGTTAAAGCCGCCGAGCGCCGAGGAGCCGGTGCAGAGCGGGCGGCGGCAGCGGCAGCGGAGGCGGCGGCTCCAGCCGGCGCGGCGCGGGGCTCGGCTGTGGGATCCGCCAGCGGTGCGAGCTCCGCGCTCCCTGCCTCGTTCCCTGCCTGGGGCGGTCGATCGAAGGGCGCGGCGCGGAGCCCGGGTGGCCCGAGGGCGCGGTGAGTACCCCCGTGGCGGACCGCGCGCGGCCGGACTCCCGAACCCTGGTGGACCGACAGACCCGCGGCCCTCGTGCACACGGGAAGAGTGAGGGGACACGCGTGGGCCTGCAGCCGGGGGAGACAGGAAAGTTCACGAGAAACTTTGCCAGCAAACTCGGGGGGCTGGGGCGCAGGAGAAGCGACCCCCCACGTCTGGGCGCGCCAGAGGTTGGGCGTGGTGGTGGTGGTGGTGGGGCCGGACAATCGGTTGGAGGGAGGTGGCCGGTAGGCTAGTCCTAGTGTTCCTGTTCTCTTCACCCCTTAACCGCACCGCGCAGGGTCTGGGAAAATTCCTGGGCTCGGGGCGGGAAGAGGGGGTGGTCGCAGTGGGGGTCCCCCTATACGCCCAACGGTGGCTCTTTCCTGAGCAGAAATCTGGACTTCAAAGCGCTCCAGGGTGTGCACGGACCGTTGCGTCTGCCAGTGCATGTGTGTCCGTGTGAATACGCGTGTGTGTGTGTCGGCATGAGCCTGCCTGGGTTTTTCTCGTGGGTCCACCTGGATGTATCTCCACGCCACGACTCTCCTCCAGAGAGTGTGACTCTTAAGTCCTGGTTTGTGTAAGTCCGCCTGTGATACCTTCCCAAGTGTCTCTTTGTGAGTGTGCCCGTGGCTTTCTCCTCTAGTGCGGCTCTCGGGGAGCCTAGCCAGCCTGGGTGTCTCTATGTCCCTACAAGTAGTGTGTCTCCCCGCGCCCGGAGGCTGGGCCCCAGGGAGGTCACCAGACGGACACTTCTCCAGCTCGGCTCCTCTCGCCTCTCCTCTTCTGAGCCTCTCTCCTCCAGCGTCTTGCTTGCTTGCCTGTTCGCTCCCCGTGGCCCCCTCCCCCCCTCAGTAGCTTCAGGCGAGCAGGACTATTTCACGCCTTGTTGAAAATTCAGGATTTTCTTTCTCTTTCCATCTCGTCTCTCTCTTTGAGGAGCATCTGTGTGTGTCTGTGTGACTGGCAGCTTGTCTGCAACCCTGTGTGTGTCTGCATGCCGTTGTGGGAGTGTGTCTGGAGCGTAAGTTCTTTTGCCTGTGATGTTGGCGCATTTGTTGGGTCTGTGTCACTCGAGTGACACTCAGTTGGTAAGCATCCGAAATGCTAGGTGTGCTTGTGCCTTTGCAATTGTGTGTCCCAGACACTGGATGTGTTCTTGTGTGTCTAACATTGAGTGTGATGGTGTGCCATTGCATGGTGGGTGGGGGTGGGGTTTCTCCAACTAGATACTCCTAGGGATGGCAGATTTGGGGAGTCGTGGAGGGTCTGTGTCTGCAGCTCTGTACTGTCACAATCCACACAAACCCTCTCAGCTGGCTCCTGGGGCTCCTGATCAGGATTGGTTGGGTGGAGCTCTCACTCTGGCTGAATCCCTGAGCCTGCAGAAAAGTGGGAGCTTAAAGTTCACTCGAAGCGGGCTCCGGAAGTCACACTCAGATTCACACTGGGACACTTCAACTCATTCTGGGGGCTCAGGATGCACACTCCCGTGGGCTCACACTCAGGGTGATAGAAGAGCGGGACTGCCACTCAGTCACGCTTAGACACTGGGGTTCCTGCAGTCCTGAGGTTTGTACAGGCTCACCCTGGAAGCAGGCAGGCTCACATTTCTACCCCGTTAGCTCATCAATTTAGACTGAGGCTTAGAGTTCATGCGCAGAATCTCCCTGTGGTCCTAGGACTCACACTTGGGTCACAGAAAGACTAGGTACTCACACCCAGACCTCCATGGGAGCCTTTAGGATTCACAAGGCACATGGGGGCTCTTGTCAGACTCACACTTCTGTTACAGAACGGGCACTCCCAGTTAGATTCCTTGCTGGAGTTCATGTACAGATTCAACAGGGACCCTGTAACTCACTCAGATTCATACCAGGATCTTAGGGCTCATACTTAGATTCATGTGGCAATATTGGGGGTCAGGTTCCCCTGGGGAACCTAGAGCTCTCACTTAGACCACCTCAGACTCATGCAAGACACTGCAGCTCCCACTCTGATTCACACTGGATCCCAGAACTAATTCCCTGGCTCACATGAAGACTCGGGCTCATCTCCATCCTGGGATCATTGAAGGGGTGCCTGGGAGCCCACAGACAGAAAAGGCCCCGGGAGTCACACCTCAGCTTACACTCAAAATGTCCTAAGGCCAGGCCTACACTGGAGCTTTAAAGGGGTACAGGGACTCAGAGGGGCTCCTGCTCTTCCCCCCTCAGCCCTGGTACTCACATTTACATCAGATGACACTGCCGCTTGGCACTTGAGGTAAACTCACACTTTCATCCCCAGGCTTGGGTTAAGACCCACACTCAGGATATCAGATAAGGAATAGAGACCTACCTCCTCCAAAGTTGGGGGCGGGGATACACACCGGTCACGCCCCTCACTCAGGCTCTCCCTGACTTGCCTTGCACAAGGAGGCTGGGCTGCTGGTGGAAAGATCTAGGTAGGTTGTTGATGACATGAGCCCTTAGAGTCTTCCATGTGCTACAGACATGCACATCCCCCCCCTACAGATTTGTGGACACTTTCTGTAGCATGGAGGGCCAGGTGTAGGGAAAGAAGATTCATGTCCTCCTAGAGCATCTCCTCCCAGCAGGAGGCCATCCTTAGGGTGAGGGAAGCTATGAAGGCTGCCCTGGCTCCAGTGATCACTCCAGAGTACTGAATCTGGGGCTGTAAGAGAGATGGAAGCCCCAGATCTGTGGAGAGAAGGTAGACTGGAGTGGACCCCCTGTCTCTTCTCTGCCTAGTCTGGAGAGGGCTAAGGGACCTGTTAAGTTCTCGCCCACAGTGTTTCCTTATTCTGTCTCATGTGCATGCTCAAGGTTCCCCGTTCTGCTCCCTTCAAGCAGTAGCCCATGGGTGGGGATGGGGGTTAGGCTGCAGTCAGCCCTGGGCCTCCACCTGTCATGGAGACAAAGCCATCCTTTAGGGGAGACCAGTGGGTGGGGCCGTGGCAGGTACACACTGTCCCCTTACCATGGTCCTCCCAGTGCTGAGTTGCCTGGGCTGGAGCTGTTCTCAGTCCCTGAAGGGGACACATGCTCTGCAGTCCCCCTATGGGGGTAGGGGGCTTGGGGAGGCAAGGCGCCCTGCTCTCTGCCCCCCCATGGCGAGTTGAAGTGTAAATGAATCGGAAACATATGGAGTGGATTTTCTTTGAAATGCAGATGGGTTGGTGGGGGGACCATGTGTGCCTGGTTTGGGGGGTCCTGGAGAGCAAGGAAGCTGAGAAGAGAGAGCTGACCCCTCCTACAGACCCACCATGGGGTGAGGGAGTGAGGAAGACCTCAGCTGTGTAAACTCCTGTGGCCCTGGGTGACCACACCCGCAACCGGCTCCCAGCTTCCTGTGGGGAGGGCTGGGGAGGCAAGTGGTCCCTGTGGGTGGAGAGTGCTGAGGTCATCCTCCTGCTGTACCTCTGCAGAGGGCAAAGAGAGCCCAGGAGCACAGGGCTGTGCTGGGTTGGAGTTCACCAGAGCCCAGAGCCCTGACAACAGCAGTGGAAAGAAAAGCTAAAGCAGAGGTGGGGGAGCAAGTCAGACCCTGCTGCTACCAGGGGCCAGTTCCCAGAGGCTGGGGCTCCGGAGCTGCAGGAGGAGGGATTGAAGTTAGACTGGTGGTGAGTTATAGGCAGAGCAGGGGTCTGTCTGGGGTTCAGGGATGGGCCAAAGAGTCCCCACTTTTGTGAGGGGATGGGTTTTTTAGACCCAGGGCAGTCAGAACGCTACAGCATGTCCTGCCTATTAGAATAGGCCCTGTGTGACAGACAATAGTATTGCAGAGTAATTTCTTCCAAGCCCTGTGGCAACCAGGGCCTGGGTCTGCCTTGGTTACCCCTGTGCCCCTGTCTCTGGCACATGCTTGGTATACAGCAAGAGGGGAATGTTGAGGGAATTACACTTCTTTTTCTCTCCTGTCTCCTTTTGGGCATGCCTGTGTCCCTGTCTGCCTGCCCTGAGCAGGGTAGTCAGGAGATTCTGAGCATTACACACAGGACAAGGAAACACTTCTGGGTTTGTGGCTTGAGACCCACCATGCCCTGGTTATACACCCCTGAGTGGTATGCAGATCAGACTACAGGAATCACTTCCCTCCACTAAGGTGCAGGGGTAAGAGTCTTCCTTGGAGAAGGTTTAGATGAGAGCAGACTGGGACAGGGCTATCATCTAGAATCTCTGACAGAGGTCAGAGGTCACTGGCATCTCGCAGCTGCAGGCTTTTGCAGCAGGTGGCGTGAGCCTTTATTCCCCAGGTAGCTGTGCGTGGGACCCTTGCTGTCCCTTGGCTTGGTCCCTTGGTCTGTAGCCGAGGGAATGCTGCCCATCTCCGAGGCTCTGTAGCTGCTGCGGTTATTAATGACTGGCTGAGAACGTGGGGTTCAGATCCTAAAAATACTCTGTCCTGCCCAGTAGTAAATGTGGGTAAATGCAGCAGTGGCTGCATCTTGGAGGGACAGAGGCTAAGAGACACATAGATGCACCAGGAGCTGGAAGAGACTGGGAGCGCATGTGAGCCTGGGGAAACTGAGGAAGCAGGGCTGAGAGAAGAGTCACTTCCGTGGTGTCAGTCATATTACAGCAACATTTGTGGTAACGTTACTCCATGCTGCAGAACATTTCCTTCTTCCGGTTTGGCAAGATGTCCCCATATCAATCCTACAAGTCAAGCCCTTCAGTAGGAGCCCTTTCAGTCCAGCTTCAGGATGTCCCTGAGAAGTGTGTGGCAAAGAGAACAAAACCTCCCCTAAGTCCCCTTTTCTACACTGCAGGCCCAGCCCTGTCTCCTCAGAGCCCTTCCTTGCAGCCGGAATTCCAAGCCCCTTTTGTAGTGGCCCCCATCTCACTCCTGATTCTCAGGCCTTTGTGTAAGACCCCCTGCCCCAAAGGAAGGGAGCTGCACGGTGGTCCCAAAAAGGCCAGAGAGACCAAGACTCAGAGGGCAGATGCCACATGACCTTGGCCTGCAAGCTGACCTTTGTGGGCCCCTCCATGAAATCGTGGGATGCGGGTGGGGGGCTGGCTGGGCCCCGGCCCAGGCCTGGAGAGAAGGCGGTTTTGGCACCCATCCAGGCCCCTGACGTCAATGACTCTCCAAATAATGGAATCAATATTGGGGGTGGGGGGGGTGCAAGCGTGAACCAGGCCCCAGCGATTAGAAACAGATCAGCGCAAACCCGCAGCTGATTCTGATAGAGCTGCCTTGGAGTGCTAGGGTGGGAGGGCTGGACGGAGCTGAACCTGGGGGGTGGCTCAGGAATGAAAAGGCGGGGCCATCCAGTGTCCAGGGCTCGAGAGTGTAAAAGTAGGAAGGACCACAAGCTTCCTGGGATCAGAAGGATGAAGTGGAGACCCTTCCCCCCTTTGAGTCTCTGGGGTTCCAAGGCTAGGTGACATTTATGGCTGGAGATTTCTTGCAGCAGCCAGTGAGAGGAGAAGAGTGAGCAAGGCAGGTTCATCTCCCTGCATCTGGACCTAGGCCCCTGGGCCATGTCAGGAGTCACAGTTACAGCTGGTTAACAGGGGAGAGAACTCTGGGTTGAGATCTAAGTGAGCTGACCTTGGCTTGGGCAGGGTTAATCCAAAATAGAGACACGGGGTATCCCGGCTCAGACTGGGATTTTGGCCTCCTCCATTGGCTCACAATCTGTCAACCTCCTAGAAGGCAGCAGGTGAGGATGGAAGGGGCCGTAAGGTCCATGGGGGGCTAGTCTGGCGGCAGCTGACACAAAACAGGAAGAAGGACTCGGGGAGCGGCTGTAATTACGGGACATTTATTATTAATCAGATGAAATTGCTGGAAGCAGCTGGTGTAATGTACGTAGCGATACAGACTCTGCATGCTTCCCCCAACACACATGCACACATACACATGCCACAGCCCGAGCCTTGCTTGCCAAGGTCAGATGGGACTACCTGTGTCTGTGCATCTTGGGGTAGATCTGTTCTTATAGACCAGCTGCCCACCCCTGCCTTTATGGTTTCCCTTCCTGATGATTTCTGTCATCCTGTGCCTTGATGTGTATCTCTCCATCTCTCTCTATCCTTCTGTCTTCCTCTTTTCGGGCCCGTCTGGATGTGTCAGCCAGCTTGGTTCTAACAGGTTAATTCTGGATCTTGCCACCTGGGCAGGACTGGGTGATGCGGAGTCCGTGTCTCCTGTGTACACATGTAAGCGCCTACTCACACATTTGCCAGATGCCCTTGGGACCTGCTTTGGGGGAGGGCCCCTGGAGCCGGAGGATGTCCTGGAGACTTGCAGGAGGTGAGGAGTCTGATGAGTGTTATTTTTCAGGACAGCCCTTGTTTCAGTGCTAACCCCCTTCCTAACTATAACTTGTGTAGCTTTGGACAAGCTGTTTTGGTTTCCTCATCCATAAAACAGATGAACACTGGATTACCTCCAGAGGTGGTTGTGAAGATGCCATAGCAAACTGTAAGGTAAATGGTTATGAGAGCTGATCAAGGGCCTGGAACGAGTGCTAGCAGTCTACTATTTCAGTTGGCAAAGGCCCTGTGCAGGTGGGTGAGACATCTGCCAAGGCAGGCTGTTGTAGCTGGAGAATTTGGGAGCTAGATATGGACTTCCATCTAGGCTCTGTACTTGATCAGCTCTAGGGTCTTGGACAAATGACTTATCCTCTTTGAATCTTTGTTTTCTTAACTGTCAAATGGGAAGACTATTGGGTACCTATTTCGTGGAGAAGTCATGAAGATTACATGAAGTAATGCATGTGAAGTGCCCAGCACATTTCCTGGCACCTGGCAGATGCTCAGGATAATAATGTCAAGGGAGAGCATGCTATGATGCTGAATGTGGATGTCATGCTGTGACATTTTTCTCTGTGTGTATACAAAATGTGTATGCCGTGGGGGCACCGCGTCTGACAACTGGTTGTGTGAGGGTTTGGAGTTGTCTTTGGGTGGTGTCAAGCCTCGGTCTCCTGGCTTCCCCTTTGTTCCAGTGGTTCCACAGATGAGGTTCGTGGCGAGATGCTGCAGGAAGTCTGTGTTGCTCTAACATTCATGTACTGCCTGCTTCGGTATCCTCTTCTCACAGTGTGGTTGTGAGTCTGAAACGAGCTTTGACTTGGACTGAGGATCGTGGCTCCTCTGTGACCTCTGATTTGTACCCTTTGCCCTTCTAGAATCCAGCCTTGGCACATCCTCCTGTCCCCTTGGTTTTGGAAGTCCCAGGAAGAGTTTGGCCTGGAGGAGGAGGAAGAGGAGGAGGAGGGCATTGATGCACTTGGTGCAGCCAGTGGTGAAGAGGTAGGTAAAAGACAGCTACCCTGGGGCTGTAGGTGTGGGGGTGTGATTGAAGAGGACCCAAGAGCATGCCGTACTTTCAAAAACAATTATATTTATTTATTTATTTTTCTTGAAAGACATGGAGAAAGAGCTATACAAAGAAACAGACGGAAAAGGATCTTCCCTTCACTGGTTCCCTTCCCAGATGCCTGCAACAGCCTAGGCTGAACCAGACCAAAACCAGGAGCCAAGAAATTAATCCTGGTCTCCCACAGGGGTGGCAGGGATCCAAGTACTTGAGCCTAGCAAGTGCCGTCTCCCAGGGTGTGCTTTCAGAAGTAGAGTAGCTGGGATTTGAACCAGGCACTGTTGTCCAGGATGTGGGCATGCTAAGTGGCAACTAAATGTTTGCCCCAAATGCCTGTCCTGAGGTCCCGTCCTTCTGTCCAGTTGTTCCTTCTCCTGAGGTTTTAGTGTCAGCCTGGCTGGGTCTTTTTTTAATGTCCCTATGACAGGTCCAGAGAAGGGAAGAGACTTACCCATGGTCACACAGACAAGGGCAGAACTGAGACAGGAATCAGAGTTGTAGGATGAACAGGGCTGAATCCCAGATGTTACGAATATGTTTCCATTTTAGTGTCCTCAGCTTCCCTCTCTGTCCCCAAAACAGTTCTCTGGCTTGATTGGGGGAGCAGCTGGGCTTGGAGGAGATGGGATAGGGGGTCAGAAGGTCCAGAATCTTCTGGGGCCAGCTGCAGGGCTGAGCCTGACTCTCCCAGTCTCTCATTCAGGCCAGGCAAGGCCCCTGGATTGGCAGCCCGGGGGTGGGGGCATCCAAGGAATCGAGGCACTGGAGCGGAACGGAAGGGTCTATTGTCCAAAACCCGCCAGAGGCCCACAAAGGCCGCAGGGCTTTTCATCTCTGCTCCCAAACAGACTGGCCATTTTCCTGGCCTGGGGGCCCTGTGGTGGGGGGGCACTAACCCTTCGGAACTAGGACTGGGGTGTTACAGAGACTGCAGTAGTATACCCCTGGCTAGCACTTGGCCATCAAAAGGGCTTAAGATGGAGTTGGGGCCCAGGAGAGGAGAAAGAAAGGTGTGAGGTGGAGGGTTGAGCTTTCCACCTCATGGTCGCCTGAGGATCCAAGGGCACAGAGTGGGCTGTCTGCCAGAGGTTCGGGTTAGTGTGAGGGCTAGGGGATGCACAAGAGGCACACCTCAGGGGAGTCTGATGGCTTGTGAGGAAAGTGGGTTGCTGAGCTGTGAGGTCACCTAATCCTCCCCTTTAATTGGGAATTCTGTAGGGAGCTGGGACAGAGGGCTGGAGAAGTGAGGCCAGGACAAGGAAAGAGAATGATTCTGCAGCAAGAGGGATGGGGACCAGACAGCAGGAAGGACTTCCTGCCAGTGAACAGTAGCTCAGATGCCCTGACCCTGTCCCTGGGGAGCTCAGAGGAACGCAGAGAGCAGGGCAGCTGGAGAACACCTCAGGGGCTTGGGACTGAGATGGCTTCTGTGGGGGGCCCTCGGAAGAGGAGGCTCGGGAGGGAGGACTTGGCTGTTTTATCCATCCTCCCCTGGCAGCACCTCCAGCCCCACTATATTAAAACAAAACAAAACAACAACAGAAAAAAACCCAGCTTTTTAATTTAACAAAGTGGATGAAAAAACTGTTTTTAGAAATAAAAGATACCTGCTGTCTCCCAAGCTAGTGCTCGGCCCTTGCTGAGAAGCTCTGGGCATATCCCGCTGCTTGCCTGGCCTCCGCCTCTCCTTCTGATGGCTTCAGCTCCTCGCCCCCTCAGCCTCCGTCCCTCTGTCTCTGCCTCCTCCTGGGTCTCTCTCTTCCGGTTCGTCTCTGTCTCCCAGCCTGTCTCAGTCTCTGTTGTCTCCCTCCAACCCCCCTCTCTCCCCCAACCCTAGCTCTAAATGGGTCTATTTAAAACGCCCGATGCTGCCAAGTCAGAAAAGCGTCTCCTGATAAAGCGCATTAGGCGGAGGGAGGGAGGGAGGAGGAGGGAGGAGGGAGCGGCGGGCGGATTGATCCATGCCGTAACCCCATTAATCAGGCAGCATGGATCCCCCTCCCTCCCCCAACTTCAGCCCCTCTGAGCTAAAAGCCCCTGAAATATTTATCACCCCTCCCCCATGGGGGCAAGGGGAGGGGTGTGTGGTCCTTGGTGTGAGCATCCCTTGCTGCCTCATGCCCCCTTCCCACTGCTGGGGCAGAGGTCGGTTGGGGGTACCTGGGCATGCGGGAGCACACCTGTCAGGCCCAGGGCCCGTCAGGGCAGCCTGGTCACTTGGGCAGTCCCCAGGGACTCCAGGAGTCTGGCCTGGCGCGTGTTGGTCTTGAAGAGGAAGCTTGGCCATGCAGAATGAGAGGAGACCTCCAGCTTGCCTGGAGGTCCTCATTCCTTCACCCCCACACCCCTTACCCCGGAGGGCATTACTCTATCATTCTTTGAGGGCAGGTCTAAATCCCCAGTACAGGAAGCAACTGAGACTTGGTGGGGGGTGGGAAAAGGGGTAGCCCTCGCTTATCCCGTGCTTGGGGGGGGGGGGGGGCGGACCTGGAAGGCCACTTGAAGCTCTCCCTTTATTCTCAGAGGGGGGTTGGAGGCCTGGGTATCCCAAAACTTCAGGAAGGCAACCAGGCCTAGGGGGGGAGAGGAGAGTCCCCATTGCCCCAGGGTGCAGAGACAGGGTCGCACCGCTGGCTGATACCCCCAGGCGGCCGGGGTCAGCCCCTGAGACTGGCAGTCATCTGCGGGGGGGCGGGGGGAGGTGGAGTTTGAGGTGTTGACTCTGTGCAACTTCACCTTGGGCGGGGGAGGGAAGCCCTGGCCACCCGTGGGTGTGAGACTGGGCTCGAACCGGGAGCCGGAGGGTCCCTTCCCTCGCCCCTCCCCCAACATCAAGTGCCACATCTCCTCCTGACTCAGACAATTAGATTCAAAGGATGACCTCACTGCATGCCGTCCCTCACTCGCTCCCTCGGCTCACTAGCTCCGCTCGCTCTGCTCGCTCGTTCGCTCGCTCGCGGCGCGCTCCTTCCTCCCCTCCTCCCGGCCCACTCGCCGCTTCGCCCGAGGCTCGGCCCGCGTCGCTCACGGTCGGGCCCGGCCCCTTGCCTGCCCACCCGGGACTCTCTCGGTGGGGGTGGGGGTAGGGGCTGCTCCGGCCCCAGCCCCCCGCCCCCGAGCCCCCGGGCATCCGATGCCTGCGGACGGCCAGGCGGATCCACGGAGCGCCGGAGGCACCGACGGGGCGCCTGTGCGGGGACCCAGGTCAGTGGCCGCGTGGTCGCAGGGCCAGGAGACTTGTCACCCCCGCCGCCACCGCCCACAGACGCCCCGCTCACCCGCCTCGGCGCTTCCCGCTCCTTCCTCGGCCCCCGCCCCCCGCGGCTGCTCGGCTTGCTCCCTCTGCCAAGCTCGCGCGCTCTCTCTCTCTCTCTTTTTCTCTCTCTCTCTCTCTCCAGCCCCTCTGCCTCTGCAGCCGGTGGGAGGGACTGGGACTTCCTGAGGTCCCTGGGCCCCTTGGCAGCGGTGGAACCAGGCCTCTGACATGGGAGGGGTCTGTGGGGAATGGGAGACCCCTCCCTGGGTGGGTGTAGGAGGGACATCTAGACAGGGGGCTGAAGGGATGAGCTCTGCTATCTTTCCCTTTTCACATCCAGTGGGCCTCTTGCTAGCCTCATCAGTCCACACCTTGTAGCTAACTGAGTTCCCACTGCCTGCCCAGGTGCAGTGGGCTCCACAGCCTACCTCCACTGGGGTCCTGTCACCTGGCTTCTTTTAACTTCCTATTCTGTTTTGTCTCCTTGCATGCCTGCTTTCTGTAAGTCACTGTCCCCTGGTATGGTGGGGCTGTCCCTGCCTGACTTCCTTAGATCCGCTGCCTGGTGTTTGTTCACATGTTTGGCTTCCACCCAGCCACACACATCAGGGCTTCTCTTAGGATGCGGGGTGCTGGGGCGGGAGGGCTCCACCTGGAATGGCAAGTGTTGTTCCCATGTCAGCCCAGCTTGGATTCCAGTCTCCCTGGAAAGGCCCACTCAGCCTGGGAGCCTGGAAGGAGCAGGGCAGGGCTCAAGGGCTCCGGGACACTTTGGGACCCTTGGCCTCTGTGCTCAATTTAGGGGAGCCTCCTCTCCACCTGCTCTTCTCCTGTCTGCCGGCCTGTTGTTGGGCATCTATCGCTACCTCTCTTTGGGCCTGACAGTGATGACAGGGCTTTGGCAGGGGCTGGAGGGGATATTGGAGTCAAAGCTCCACCTCTTTCTTCTCCCCTGCCTGTTCAGAGCCAGTGTTGACATCTGGACATCCTATGGATGGTGGTGGACACAGAGAGGCTTCTGAGAGGCCTGGGGTCACACAGCACAGGGTTGTTTGAGGGGATCTGTTGCCTGTCCTCCTCATACTGGAGAAGGGTCCTTGGAAGTGGGCTGATTTCAAGGCTCTCTGGCTCCTGCTGCTACTAGAGCCATCATCTCTCACCCAGGGGCTTCCTCACCCCTGCTGCCTGGCCTGGATTTGCCTTCATACCTTAATGCTGTTGAAAGCAGTGTTAGGGGAAGAAGGAGCCGCCTGGGGAATTAGCCTCTGGTTTTTTACTTTCTAGGCACTGGCAAAGTTCCTCTTTTCCTTCCTGTCTAAGGCCACCTTGGACTTTCCCCCCCTCCCTCTAAGCCCAGCTAGGCCACCTGAGGTCTGAGGATGGATCTGGGGTCTTTCCCATTGCTGGGTATGGGGGTGTGGGGTGTGACAGGCCAAGGGTGACTGGGGGATTCTGTTTCTGGAGGGGTACAGTGGCGTCTGTGGAAGGCAGACTAGTCAGAGTGTGAAATGGTATCCATATGTGAGGCCGTGACTATTCTGTGTGTGTGTGTCATTGAAACTGTAATGTGTGTGTGTGTGTGTGTGTGTGTGTGTGTGTGTGTGTGTGCACTCCAATGTACAGGAGCCTGTAGTAGTGGATGTCTATATGCAAGGCTGTTGAAGCTGCCTGGGTGGT